ATAGTGATGGATATCTACTCTTCTCTGGTGTCAACCACTGGTGGCTGCAGCAAGAACCACTCTCTGAGGATAAAACAGCGCAGGCTCCTCTTGGGAACCCAAGATGAAAACTGAAGATGGAGATATGACAGAACCACCTGTGAAAGCATAACACTTCACAGATCTCGCTTCTCTTCCCTCCTGTGCTGTTGCTCGAAAGCAGAGCACTGCCTAGTTCCAGCCAGAGGTGGTTCACAATCCACCATTAATGCAGTCACCTTCCCTGGTGGCTGAAGCAGGATGTGTTTTGTCTCAGAAGCTATGCTCAAACACCTACAGCACCCTCAGTGAACGTGGACAGCCAGGGTGTACAAGTGCTGCCCATGCCAGCTGAACCCAAGGGTACCGCTTTCTGCCAGCACCATCGCCTGAGCACACATCAGAGTCAGGCAGGTTGAGTTTCAGCAGGTGAGGTTGTGGGGGGAGATGTGCAGCTCCAGGCTGGGCTTGTGAGGACAATGAGCCAGCACCTGCCACTGCTGCTGAAGGAGGGAGACCTGATCCCTGATCCGTGGCTGCACCATGGCAAGCAGTTGTCAGACAACGAACGGGATGAGGAAACTCATTTAGGCTAAAAATACCCAGTTTTGCCTGTTTAATTTTAACCTAGGTCACTTCCCCAATCCTGTTTCCCTTGAAGCCACAAAAACGCCTCTGTCAGCAAGAAGGAAGGGGTAGCAGAGGAACAATCTCTGGTTTTGATGGGGCTGCTGAGGATTCCTGAAGCACCAGACCCACGTATGGCCACAGCCACTCTTGCAGGGAGTTTCTTAGTGGTGCCCTGCAGAACTCAAAGCTCCTCGACCCTCCCAGCACAACCGACAGCCTCCAGATGCTCCTTGGTCTCCCCATCATGAACTCACTTTGCATGTCACATCACAAACACCAAGTTCACACTGCCTGGTTTCACCCAGGGCTCAGCCTCGCTGTCTGAAAGGCTCAGCTCCGCAGCCCACGAGCACCAAGTGACCGCAGGCGGGAAATACCATCAAGCAGGCGGGTGCAGCTTCAGCCCAGCTCACAGGAACTGCTCCGCACCAGGGAAGTTCAGGCTTCAGCTGATTTCCTATGCAGCTAATAGTCATGAAGCTTTGCAGATTTGTACCTACTAATAGCTGTAAAGAAACCAACAATTTGATTTGAGATTCTCTTCCCTCCACCCCCGACCCAGGAAAAGGCACACTGTTCTCCAACTATGCAAATTTGTTTTCTTTTGCACAGTGGGTAAAAAATAAGTAACGGTTTGAGATTGATGATTAATTTGCCAAAGATTTAGGGCAAGCTATGTATGATTGGAAAATCAAACCCTGAGAACAAAGCCCTGTGCCACACTTTCACTGGGATCAGTTAAATTAGAGCAGGACAAAACTGGATAGCAAATCTGTTTTGGGAAGGTGTTCCTCCCTGGGTGCTAAACAGAACAAGTATTCACCAGACACAGAAGACAATAATCAAAATGTTTTACACTTACAGTGTTTGTGGGGGTTTTTCCTGTCTGTGTGGTTAGCAAAGGGAAGCAATGATGAGAAACAAAAATTTCCAACTGGTAGAGCTCATGCCCTCACATCACATTTCTATCAGAAATGGGAAAACCCACCTGTGACTCCAGCTTCTAGGCAACTTCCCATGTACAAACGAATTAGTGAAAAGCTTATGGAACAGTTTATTCTCTTGACACCTACAAAAGCTTTTGAGCCACCCTCATTTCAACACACTTATTTCCATGTACTGACCAGGTATTCCCACACTGCATCAGTTCAATGCTTGAAGGCTTCAGCAGCAAATTCCTAACTCAAGTTATTTCAACAGATTCTGGTAGGTTTAGACCTTTATTTTAAAATGTGGTTGGTTTAAGAGAGTGGATTTAAACCAAGAAATTACAGTATTAAATAAAGAAAAAAAACAACAGATGCATTTAAGTCCATAATCTGCTACCACCTTGATCTAAATATCACCTTTCAATGGTGGCTGTCCAAGGAGGTGAGATATTATCCCATTTACAGGTGGATGCTGCCAAGCACCAAGGACCTTGTCAAGGGAGGACTCTCAGAGGTGGGTTAGGCCCTGCCTAAAGTTCTGCTCTCTATTCGAAGTCCTGCCAAGGCACCTTCCATGCTGGGAACTCCAGGGACAGCTGACGAACCTCCAAGCAGAGCAGATTGGAACATACAATATACAACAATAGTGTTACGGCAGTAAATAGCTCCAAGTTCTAGATGTGACCTAGTTCTATATGACATGGTGAAATGTGGAGTGTCTCCCACCTGACAGTCCAGGAAAGCTCTGTAGGGACCTGCCATACCACGGCCACACTGCAGCCATGGGAAGCAGAGGGGAATGACATGGCCCACGTCACAGGGCAAGTCTCTGGCAAAGGACTTGGAAAGAAACCCCACCCTGCCCCACTCCCAGGCTGTTGCTGAAGCCACCAGGCACACCTGGCTCCAGGACAACCACTGTGGACCAATCCCTGCATTGCATCTGCCTGCCGCACTCCTGGGTTAGAGCAAATAATGCAAACCCAACTCTGCCCCGGTGTCCTGACTCGCTCCTCCCAGTCACTGAATCCTTCAAGGCTCGACCTTGCCCTGACTGTCCTGTCTTCTTCCCCAAGACACACCTTGGAACAACCATCACCAAAACAGTGAAGTACATGAAATCCCTTCCTGCCTCCAGGATGAGCACCACAGGAACGAGCCCAGAGCTGTGGCCGTAGGGAAAAGAAATTTCACATGAATAAATATTGCATAACACCCATTCCTTAGAAAAGAGAGAAAAAAAATGCACCTCACTGTGCTGCACTTGCCTGGACAGAAGGATCCCAAGCACAAGCACATAAGAAAATGCAGAAGTAAACAACTTCCTCACCTCCAGCTACACACTCATGACACAAAACTTATCTAGAAATGACATCCAAAGAACACAACATGCCATAGATGACTAAGAGGCAGAAGCAGAGCACCATCAGCTGTGCTACGGATCGATCCAGGAACAATTGGTATGTCAGGAAAGCGTGCCAACGCGCAAGTGAGGTGGCTCTGCTGCACAGCAAAATGGAAAATTTGGGAGTCTGCAGGCTGGTGCAGGGCGAGCAACGCCAGTTCTGCTCACATGGAGTCAGGGTTTTGGGGTGCATTTAAACCTGCAAACTGCCCCCTCCACATTCACACCAACACAGGGACACACACACATTCTTCTCTCTCCAGCAGGAAGAGTGTCTCGGAACGGACTTGTGATGGACAAGCTGTCCTGACGCACACTATTAACCTTGGTACATGCTGTACTTTCTAATGGATGCAGCTGCAATGCCACAGTGGGCACCTGGGAGCTCTCTCTTCCCAGTTTGGTGCCTGTGCTCCAGGGAAACCTGTTGCATTACATGATCAGTCTCAAGAAGAATCAACATATGGGAGCAGCTTGGCTATCAGCAGCCCGTGAGACTATTTTATGAAAAAATCACCAAAACACCAACCTGAGCAAGAAGTCAACTGAGAGTGTGGGGAAAGCAGAGGAAGTGGCCTCTGTCAATGTTTGGCATACAAAAGGTTGAGAGCTTCAAAAAATCGCTGGAGAAAAAGGTGACACAGAAAAAGGCACCTGCCTGGGGGGTGGTCCTTTCCCGGAGCAGCCTGAGCTGTGCTCTGTGAGGCGCCAGAGCAGGCTCCACCCCAGAGATAACACCACGGCACTTTGACTCTCAAGGCTTAGTCTCTGTACAAAGGTGTCTCGGCCAGCACACAGAGCAGCGAGCCCACAGGCAGCTCGGTGGTAGATTCATACGTTCATATGCAGGGACTTCCTTCCAAGCTAAGCTGTGCCTTCACAAGGATCTTTACAGCCCTGGTGCAACACTCACAGTAAAAAATCACCAGCTTCCCAGGGACTAAACTGTCCCAGCAGAGACGCAGGTGCAAACCAGACCCCCCAACCCACACCCAAGGCCAGGACACCCACCAGGCTGGCACCAGGGGCCGTGGCTGACCCGGGGGCCTGCATCCCTCCTCCTCGAGAAAGCAAAGAGGGAGAAAGCTGGAATGTGCTCCCCACCCCCAAGGTGAAAGGCCGAGGCCGCGACTCGGCACCACAGGCTTCCTGTTCCTCGGCTCCCCCCACACATTCGGTACCAGCGCTGGCATCACGCCGATGAAGTCTGCACTACCCAAAGCAAACACCCCTGCAAACCCACATTCCTCCCTTCCCAACTTCCTCCTTGTTCAGGCCCTGTCCTCCAGCTCTGCCTCCTCAGCTCATCTCAACACTGCGATGTCAAACACCCTTCTCGGATCCCTCCTGCTCCTCCGGAGCTCCCTACTGCCCCATCAACCACCCCACCCAGCCCCACTCTCCCCTCTCCACTGTCTGTCCGGCTCTGCTTCTTCATTCCCCAGGTCTTCCCTCTGCCCATCCCCGCCGCCCCCAGCTCAGCTTCCCCACCCCGACCACCCTCCTCCCAGCCCCCGCACCCTGCCGGCCCCCACCCCGTGCCCGCTCTGCCCTCCCCGCTTCCCGGGTAGCTCAGTGCTCGCCGGCCCGGTGCCACCCCCCGTCACGCTCTAGCCCCCCATCCTGCCTTGTCACCATCCCCACCCTCCCCCGGCACGCCTCGCCGGCCTCTGCCCCGTGCCCGGGCGGCGGGCACAGCTCCAGCCCCGCTCAGCCGTCGCCGCGCCCCCGCCCCTCCCTCAGCCCGCGGCCCCGTCCCCGCCCCGCCCCGGCCCTCCCTGCTCCTACCCGGCGGCCGCGCCCTCGAACTTGAGCGTGAGGGTCTCCTCGATGATGCGGTTGTTGACCTCGAGCAGGATCATGTCGGTGCCGGGGGGGCTCTGGGGGAGCCGAGCCCGCTGCGCGCACCGGGGACCCGCCCGACCCTGCGCCGCCGCTTCCGCTCTCGCGCGCGCGTCACGTCCGGCCCGTCGCCGCTGGGCGCGCAGGCCCCGCCCCGGCCCCGCCCCGGCCCCGCCCGTCGCATGACGTCACACCGACCGTGCCCACCGGGCGGGAGGGAAATGGGGGCACCGGGGGGACCCCAAGTGTGGCGGGACACGGGGGGGGCCCTCGTGGTATGGGGATCACCCCCAGCTGGGATTTGGGGTGCGCCTGGGGCATGGTAGGGGGGTCCCCAAAAATGTCCCGCCCGCTTGTGGGATGCTGCTCGTGTATGGATGTCCCCGAAAGTGTGGGACTCCCCTAGGGTTATAGGGACACTCCAGGGAGTAGTGGGTGTGCCCCAGAGTATGGGGGGGTCTGCATAAGAATAGGGTGCCCCAGGGATATGGGGTTGCTCACGGGGGAAAGAAGTATCTTTCTGAAATCCATGATTTCAGGTCTGCACAGAAACGTGAGAGGTGACCACAGAGAGCGGCAACACCCCAGGGGGCTGTGAGGGTGCTCTGGAGCTGGGGGTTGTCCAAAATAGGGTGGGTGTCCCCAGGATGGGTGTCCTTGGGTGTGTAGTGACACCCAAGGGATATGATAGTGCTCTACAACTGTACCGGTGTCCCCAGGGAAGAAAGGCACCCCAAAAGTGGGGAGTACTCACAGAAAGCTGTGAGGATGGGGGTGCTCCAAGGGTTTGTGGGTATCCCAGAGGAATGTGGGTGCCTGGGGGATGCTCTTGGATGCAGGTTTCCCCTAAAGGCAATAGGGGTACTCAGAGGAGTGAGCCAGGGGTTCTCTAAGTCTGTGGGGCTGGCACGGGGGCACAGCTCTGTCTGATGGCATGGTTCGACTTGGGTCAGTCAACTCGGCATGGTACAGCTAGGGTGAGACGGAAATGGGACTCTACTCGGGAGGGGTCCCCCACAGCAACCCCCAACAGGGGGCAAGCCAGCCCTGCAGTTCATCTGTGCACCCTCCAAAATGCTGGTACCACCCTTGCTCTATCCATGGGGAAACTTGAGTCACAGAGCTTGGCACTGCCATCACCCACTGGCCACGGCCTCGGAGAGCTTCCAGTCTCCTGGGGGGACTGCAGCACCCAGGGGTGTCTTGGAGGGGAGCCTCGCACCCACTGAGGGCCTGGGGACAAGGTGAGGACCCCCAGCTGGAGAACCCCAGGAGGCATTACTGCAGGGGTGACAATGCACCCCTGGGTGTACTGCCAGTACGGGGTGGCCTGGGACACCCTGGGACAGGAGAGTGATGGGGTCTGCGGGCTTCCCTTAGCCCAGGAAAAGCATCCTGGGGGGACTGGGGAAGGGTCCCTTGGGCTGCCACTTCCCCTTCATGCTGGGAGAAGGTTTTGCAATCTCGCTTCCTCCCCAGGCAGCATAAAGAGGGCAGCGGAAGGAAGGGGCACTGGGTAGTGGCACAGCACGGGTGCAGGTGAGGGACCCCCTGGTCGGGTGCTGCGCTGCATCCCAGCACACTTTGTTCCGGAGCCCTTTGGGGTTGACATCTGGATTTGAACCAGTGCCTGTGTGTTTCCCAGTGAGAAAAAGCTTGGGACTGGGAGAAGACCCCAGATTTGAGGGGACAGCGACAGCAGCGAGCGGTGAGTCTCTGGGATTCTCCACTGGAGGTTGGGACTTTCCTTGGGCTTTGAGAGCCCTCCAGCATCTGTCTGAGCCCCTTCACATGTGGAGCAGGCTGGGGGCCGGGGTGGGCTGCTCCAGCTGCCCAAGGAGCTGCCTCGTGTGAGGGGAGAGGGAGGTAGGAGGTGGGGGCACTCAGGGCTGTGCTGAGGGCTTGTCTGGGGTGCAAACCCTCCATAGTCCCCGGAGACATCAGCCTTGGGTGCCGTGGGGGGAAAGTGCTTGCTCCCATTTCCTCACACAGCGATGAGCCGGGAGGGTGCATCCCCATGGTTTGTCCCTCCTTCCTCCCTGCTGGGACCCTCAGGTCCACCCCAGTGTCCCCCAGCCCTTCCAGGGTCAGGAGGGGAAATTGTGTGCTGCTTGCTCCCCCAGTTGGGCCAGCTGTGGGATACCCATGAGTGGGGGAATACCCAGTTCTGGAGGAACCAGTAGGATTTTGGAGTGCGGAGGAAGAAAGAAGCAGCCAGAAACAGACAGAGGGGAAGCACTGGTGTCTGGCTCTGCACCATGCCTGTGGAAGCCTCAGTCAAGAGGACCTTCCCCATCGACACTGGCAGCATTCCTGGCTGTGGTCCTCTGGCATGCTGGGACATCAGCATCCCAGCATCACCATCCTGGGATCACCACCTCAGGGTTACCATCCCGGGAAAACTGCAGGAGAGGGGACAGCAGAGCCAGGGAGGGATTTTTCTGGGCAGTGGGCACCAGCCCAGCTGCAGCAGGGAATTCCTGTCAGGCAAAAGGGGAAAGTTGGTCCCAGGGAGGGTTTGGGTTCAAACAGAGCCAGTCTGGGGCCAGAAACCCCCCAGCACTGCAGGGACTCAGCACCTCCAGACAGTCCTGGCCTCTTCCCCCTGGAGGGGCTTGAGGGCTCAGAAATGGGGCAGAGGGGTGAAAATGGAGTGAAACCGGAGTCCATATCCATACTGGGAGAAGGCTGAAAGCCAGTGGTCTCTGGGAAGGTAGGAACGGAGCAAGCTTGTTGTCTCCTACACGTGAGGAAACAGGAAGAGTGACTGTCACCTGTGATTTCCCCACTGAGGCCGAGCATGGGGAACATGAGGATGTTCCCCAGCAGAGCCCAGCTGAGCAACAGGAAGACCAGAGATGTGAAATATTTCCAAAGCCTCCTGCAAAGTGTGTGATGTCTTTCCGTCTGAGGCTTGAAACCATTCACGGAGGAACAGGACTGGGAGGGGGAAGAAGGGCATGAAACATCTTCAGATGTTCTTCAGTGCTGCCTGCCCCAGGCACCATGACCACAGCCTGGCTGAGGTGGCATGGGAGGCAGCTGCAGCAGTGATACTTGAGGGGTTGGAGAGGCTGGTGGGATCCAGGGTTACTTGAAGAACTTCAGAGGTCCCCACTGGGCTCTGAGATGCCCAAAGAGCTCAGAAGGCTTTTGAAGGACCCACACAAACCAGGGGACCCCACAGTTGCCAGAGGAGTCAGGTATCTCCTGGAGAGATGTGATGCTACATTGATGGGGGAGGCCCCCAAACAGAGAAGAGGTGGTCAGTCTGTGAGGGAACCCCTTCTTCCACGGGAGTCAGGGAAGGGACAAGATTGGGGTAAAGTGGAGGAAACCAAGGGGTACAGGGGGTGTTTTACAAGGGGACGTATGAGGGACAGTATCTGCCTGCAACACTGCCCATTACCTAGGACAGTGTGAATACAGTGGAGTGATGCAGGAGTGCTGCCAACTGCCTGGGAGGGGGCCTGAGCAGCAATGGAGATGCCAGGGGGCCCAGAGATGCTGTCACACCTGGCCCACACCACTCTGCCACCCCACACTCATGCCATTTTGTGCTCCACAGGCAAAATGGAGTCCTTGTCCTTCAATGGGGATTTGTCCAGCTTACTCTCTCTCTACAACTTCACCTATGACTACAGCACGGCCCTGCCTGACATTGCTATCTCCTCTGCCCCATGCCGGCCTGATGGCTCCGTCCTCAACAAGTACCTGGTGGTGGTGATCTACTGCCTTGTCTTCATCCTCAGTGTAGTGGGGAATGGGCTAGTGGTGCTGGTGGTGACCTCCAGCCACACCAGCCGCTCTGTCACTGACGTCTACCTGCTCAACCTGGCCGTGGCAGATTTGCTCTTTGCTTTCACCCTGCCCCTCTGGGCTGCCTACCGAGCCCACGAGTGGGTCTTTGGCACCGTGATGTGCAAAGCCATCTCCGTGCTGCAGGAAGCCAACTTCTACAGCAGCATCCTGCTGCTGGCCTGCATCAGTGTCGACCGCTACCTGGCCATTGTCTACGCCACCCGGGCTGCCACTGAGAAGAGGCACTGGGTGAAGTTTGTCTGCTTGGGCATCTGGGTCTTCTCTGCGCTGCTCTCCCTGCCCATGCTGCTCTTCCGTGAGGCTTTCACCTCACCCAACAATGGCACCGTGTGCTACGAGCGTATTGGTGAAGAGGACACGGCCAAGTGGCGGGTGGTGCTGCGGGTGCTGCCACAGACCTTCGGCTTTGCCTTGCCCCTCCTGGTGATGCTCTTCTGCTATGGTGTCACCATCCACACCCTCCTGCAGACCAAGAATGCTCAGAAGCAGCGGGCCATGAAGGTCATCTTTGCCGTGGTGCTCGTCTTCCTGGTCTGCTGGCTGCCCTACAATATCACACTGGTGAGCGACACCCTCATGAGGACACGGGCCATCGCCGAGACCTGCGAGAGGAGGAGCCGCATCAACACAGCCCTCTCTGTCACACAGGTCCTGGGCTTTGCCCACAGCTGCATCAACCCCATCATCTATGCCTTCATCGGTCAGAAGTTTCGCAACAGCTTCCTCAAGATCCTGGCACAGCGTGGGCTGATCAGCAAGGATGCTGTTGCCCGCTACGGCCGTGCCTCCTATGCCTCCACCTCTGGCAACACATCCACCACCCTCTGAGCCCTTCTGGTACCCAGTCCTTGTGACTCCCAGCAGATCCCAGTACCCCACACACCTCAGTATCCTCATCCAGCCCCCTGGAACGTGGGTGGTGATGCTATGGGGATGGGCAGGGCCACCACTGGATGCTGGACTCCAGCTGGAAGGGGGCTTGGGTGGCAAGGTGATAGGATTCCATTGCCAGAGGAGTGATGCCAAGTGCTGCCCACCCTCCCCTCTCTTTGAGACAAAGCCTGTGACTCTGGGGATTCTGAGAGCCTGCTGTGGGGATGGTGTTTGTGGCCGTCGACCATGCAGCAATAAAGGAGTTAGTGAGTTGATCACCCAGGTCTGGCTTCTCTTTGCCACAGGAAAAGAGACAGCAGGACAGGGCCAGAGCACATCTCCATGGACAGTGCCAGAATGGTAGTGCCAGCTGAGCCTTTTGGAGTGCGGGTAACCCTGCTTCCAGGACAGGGAAGGGCTGTTGCCCCAGAGGCTATTGCAGAGGGTTTGGCATCCTGTAAAACCCCAGAAGGGGCCCAAGCCCAGGTTTTTTTCCCTACAGCCACCTAGCCAGGTCCTAGCGCTTCCCTTGTACAGAGCTCTCCATGTGGAGTCTGTCCCACCTGGGGACAAAGCCATTCCTTTCCCAACCCCAGTCCAAGCACCAGTAGAGCAAATTGCTGAAAGATCCCTAAGCAGCCCCTCACTGAAACTGAGCCAGCATTGTGATCCCTGCCTGAAGGGTGCCAGCACCCCAGGCACCCCCTTCTCCCCCCGACACCACAGTGTCAGGATATTGTTGTGCAAAGGGCTGGGAACCTGTCCCTTACACAAACGGGATGTTTCCGCCCCGGCTTGGGCAACTGAGGCTGACATTTGACTGGGGTAGAGGAGCTGAAGAGGGGGCTGTGACCCTGCTGGGGACTCTCCTGCCACCCTGTGTGCCAGGCATCGGGATGCCTACCCCAGCACTCCTAAGCATCTCTTCACAGGGGTCCCATACTGCTCCTCCATTGCCCTTGATCCAGGTTCCTGGGGGTCATTAACCATGGGGGCATCAATGCGTGTCACCCATGTGCTGGCTTATGGGTGGGTATGGGGTCTCCTGGCACCCAGGAGGGAGCCCCAGGGACTTGAGGCTGAGCAGGGTCAGTGGGGGTGCTGAGCCCATCACCTTTGCATCTGAGAAACCGCTTGCCCAAGTGGTTCCTCGCAGCGTGGTAGGAAGCCAGAGCTGTTGGTCAAGAGCTGTCTTCCCTCCCTGCTGTGGGACAGGGCAGGCAGGCTCAGCCTGGCTACAGGCAGGACACCCCCAGGAGGACTTGAACACCCCCATGCCAGCATTCCCCCACCCCACACCCAGCCTGGGTGTCAATCTGGAAACGATTGACAGATAACATGAGAGCTGCAGGGATAACAGAAATGGGTTGTTTTCATTTTTGTGGACCAGCCACGAGAAAGACAGATCTCAAACCTGAAATGTTGGGCAGCAGGACCTGCATGAAGGCCCTGGACACCTGGGTCCCCAGTAAGTCTGAGAGGAGACAGACAGGGCAGGAGGTGTCCCAGGAACAGTGCCAGGGATGCAGTCCCTGCTCATGTCGCCTGTGGGTGCCTTTGCTGGTAACAAACCAGGCAGCAGCGGCCCTTCTTGCCAAAGTCCATGGAGCACGAATGGCACACCTTGCCCTGGCACAGCCTGCTGAGAGAGCAGGTGGTGAGAGTTGTGCCATCCCAGTGCTGTGTCAGTGCCATCCCCCAGTTACCCCCATAGCCCACCTGCAGCTGTACCGCCGGGAGAGGAGGCGGAAATCCTTGTGGCAGCGGGAGCACAGCCCTGTGTCATGGGGGGCCGGGCTGGGCGTGGGGGTGTCGATGCCCTCTGTTTTCTGCCACAGGGCATCCTTCTCCCTGCAGGAGGGGACAGGTCAGCCCTGTATTTATCTGGGCTCTGGTGCCCTCCTCTGGGCAAAGGGGTTTGGACCCCCTTGCCCTTGCACGGAGTTTCCGGGGCTCTCACCGCAGCAGCTCCAGCAGCCGTTCCTTCATGTCGCGGATGAGCTCCTGCTGCCGCGCCTGCTCGGCGCCACGCATGGCCTCTCGCTCCAGGGCCTCCCGCTGTGCCCGCTGCAGCGCTGATGCCCAGCGCTCACCGTCCCGCCGGGCCCTGGCACGGGGCAGCGGGGAGATGGTCCTCCTGTCCCTCAACTGGTCATCTCTCCATGCATGCATGCATGCATCCATTCATCCCTCCCTCCTTTTCTCTGATGCCCATCCATCCCCGAGCTGTGTCCCCCTCCCCACAGCCACCCTGCCATCTGCTGAGTCAGCCACCCATCCATTTCCCCGCTGTTCATCCATCCTTCCCCACACCCCTTCCCCCAGCCTTCTGCCCACCCACCCATACATCTACTTACCCAAAATTCATCCCTCTGTCTTTCCATCCACCATCCCGTCTCCATCCATCCATCCCAAATTCATCCCTCCTGCCCTCCCTCCATCTACTCACCCCAAATCACTCCACCCCTCTGCCCACCCACCCCTCCACCTACCTGTCAGTTCCAACTTGACCCCTCCCTGCAGTCATCCTTCCCCAAATCCTTCCCTCCCTACCCCTGCCCATCCCCAGCTGCTGCTCCCCTGTGTCCAAGTGGGAAGTCATTGGGGGTCCCAAGGGAAACCATGTGGCAGGTGGAGATGGGGGATCCCATTGTGGGGTGGTGGGTGATGGAAGTGGGGGCTCCTGCCCAACCTGCTGAGTTCCTCCTGCAGCCGTGCCACCTCCTGTCGCTGGGCCTGGAGCTGCTGCCGGCTCTGCCATGTCTCCTCCTGTGCTGCAGTGGCCAGCCTGGCCAAGCGCTGTGGGAGAGTGGCAGCTCAACCTTGGACCCCAAACCCCTACCCCACCACAGGATTCCCTCAGGCTTGCTCATACCATGGCCATGCTGGCAGCTGTGCAGGGCTCCCCCTCTGCCTGGGGGTCCAGTGAGGGCTCCTGGGGACCACGGGCAAGCTCCAGTGCCTGCCGCAGCACCTCCTCCACGACGGCCACCTCATTTTGGGCACCAGCATGCCCCAGGATGTCTGTCTGTCTTGCTGCCACCAGCGCTGCCTGGCACTCCCGCAGGCGGGAGGCGAGCGCTGCCCCCTCTGCCAGCACCTCAGCCAGCTGGGTGCCCCGCTCCTCTGCCACCTCCTGCCAGCCCCGTGCCTCCTTCTGTGCCTGCGCCAGTGCCCCCGGGCACCCTGCTGCCACCACCATCTCCAGTGCCCGCTCCAGGAAGGTGTTGGTCTCCCTCAGTGCCTCAGCCTCGTGTGCCCACAGCTGGGCCCGCTGGGCACTGCCCTCCTCCTGCTGCTGGTGCCGCAGTTCTGCCCGTGCCAGCCGTGCTGCCAGTGCCCGCACTGCCACCTCCTGCTGACCCAGCTCAGCCCTCAGCTGGGATACCAGTGCCTGTAGGGATGCCTCCATCCCACCCAGCTGCCCGGGCACCAGTGATGGAGAACTCAGCGTACACCTCATGCCAGTGAGTGGGGTAGTGCCAGGCTCCCTGGCACCATCAGGCTGAGGTGATTTGCCAGAGCCATGTACATCCTTCAGTTCCTCTACATCTACATCCTCCATCTCTTTCTCATCCTCCTCCAACTCCTTTTCATCCTTCTCTTCCAAATTCTCCTTCATGTCCTCCTCCACATCCACCTTCACATCCTCCACCTCCTCCTCCGTATCCTTGTCCTCATCCTTTTCCACCTCCTCTTCATCCTCCTCTTTCATGTCCTTCTTCATCTCCGCGTTTTCCATCTCCGTGTCCTCCACCTCTACATCCCCTGCCTGCAGGGCAGACAAGGTGTGTGGACATGGGTGAGCTGGTGTCCCACAGGGTGCCGCGATGGGATGGACGATGCCATCGGGCCATCTGTGTGCCCCAGTGCTGGTGTTGTCTGTCTGCAGAGCTGTCTTTGCTGGGCTGCTCCTGGTCATCGAGCTGGGCTGTACCAGAGACCTAGAGGGGACACAGGGCTCGGGGTCACCAGGTCACCCCCAAGGTGAGCACGGTACTGCCATCCTCCCTCTGAGCTCCCTGGTGCACAGCCAACCTTCGGGGATGTAGAGGGCAGCAGGGCTGGTGACACCAGGTGGCACCTGGTGGCAGGGGACCAGGGATGCTGGTGCCACCAGCCTGAGAACCCACAGAATGGGTGGCACCCAGAGACCCCTGTGGTGGTTGCAGGGGAGCATTGGGGCTGCATGTATGCTTGCGGCAGTGTGTGCCCACAAGTGTGCGAGCAGCAGAACAGGTGTGAGTGTGCTGGAACAGCTGCATTCATGGGTGTCCCTCTGCAAGCTTGCCCGGAGGGCAAGGGTGTGCAAGCACACACATGTGCCCCCGTGTGTCAGATGTCACAGTGTTGCAGCAGACCTGTGCCTGGGGGTGTACTTGGCAGAGGATGGCTCTGTGTGTGTGTACACATGTGTGGCATGTTTGCAGGCACAGGCATGGTGTGTGTGCTGGTGCCGGTATCTGTGCCCTCCTGGGGCCATGTATGGAGGGCTGGCACCTCTGGGGTGCCACGTGGTGTCCAGGGAAGTTGGACAATGCCTATATGCTGCTCTGCAATGTTGAGCCTCAGGTACCTCTGATGCCCCTGACACTGCTGGTGCCACCAATGCCCCCGTGTCCCGGTGTCCCCAGGCTCACTCAGAGAACATGGGCCAGGCGGTGTCCAGGTCGTCCCTGTGCAGGGCCAGGTGGAAGGTGACACAGTCCAGCTCATAGAGGCTGCCCAGGATCTCCACCCGGTGCTGGGGGCTCAGGAAAGGGCTGCGGGCGTAGTACCACTCGCTGCAACCACAAAACAGGCTCAGGCACCCCTCTATGCCCTGGGTGGGCACATATGCCCGCAGCACCCTTACTGACCAGGTGCTGCAGGGCGCTGCCCGTCTCGGCCATGTCCCCCACCCTCACTGTGCCCCTGCTCTCACCGGAGGCTCTCGGGGTCAAGGAGGCAGAGCTGCAGGGACTCTGCCAGCTGCCGATGCACCAGGCAGTACCGCAGGAAGGCTCGGCCCCTGCCCACAGAGGTCTTCAGCTGGGAGGGAGAAGGGGTTATCAAGCCCTGTCACACCAGTCTGCCCCCTACACACCTCCCCCCCAGCCCATACAGGGGGAAAGGAGGTCCTCAGGTCCATGGCTGGAGGGCAGTGGGGACCCCAGAGTGGAGAAAACCCTTTATAGCAGCAGTGGATGAATCCTCAGCGCCCAAGTGAGTGTGTACCTGTGCACAAGTGCATGTGCACCCATAAGCAAGCAGAAGCACGTGTATGTGCACAAGTCCCCAGGCATCCCACCAGCCCATGCCCACCTTGTCCAGGGAGGTGACGAAGTGAACGCCCTCGTGCTCCTGCCGGCACCGTGCCAGGCCTTGGCACAAGAAGTCCCAATAGTCCCTGCGCTGCCCAAAGAAGCTCCTCTTCTCCTTGAGGTCGAACTGGCAGATGTACAAGCTTGGAGTTTCTTGTTTGAAGGTGTCCCCTGTCTCCCAGCCTGTCCCCTGTGAGGCTGGGATCCAGCCAGCTGCCCCAGCAGGGTTGGTCCGGGTGTTCCCTGGCTGTCCTCTCTTCACTGGCTCCATGCCTCAATTTCCCTTTTGCAGCACGTGCAATTACACACGTGGATGAGGGAGAGCCTGGTCCAGGTGCTCGTGGCTGGGGCAGCCCAGGGCCAGACAAAGCTGTCTGGGGTCATACCACCCCCCCCAGAATGGTTAACATAGGGTCCCCTCTGCTCCTAGCTGTGCCTAAGGGGAAACTAAGGTGTGGAGCAGCAGGGACAGAGGAGAAGCAGTACCTGGAGGAGGAACTCCAGCTGGGCACAGAGGCTATGCAGCTCCCGGCTCCCATCCGTCACCGGCAGGTTCTGCTCCCGGTAGCTGCAGTTCAGCTCAGCCACGGTCTCTGCAGGACAGCAGGGCTGAGCTGGCATGGCACTGCTCAGGCAGCAGACAGCGGGTACTCTTTCCCATCCCATCCCCCTTTCCACTGCCTCACAACTCCTGGACCCAGAGATTTCTAATGGCAGAATTATAGAATCTAAGTTGGAAAAGACCTCTAAGATCCAGTCTAGTTGAGAACCAGATCTGCTAAGTCCCCCACTAAACCATCTCCCGAAGTGACACATCTGCACGTCTTTTAAATACCTCCATGGGTAGTGACTCCACCACTTCCCTGGGTAGCCTGTTCCAATGCTTGATAAGCATTTCTGTGAAGAAATTTTTCCTAATATTTAACCTAAACCTCTCCTGGCATAACTTGAGGCCATTTCCTCTTGTCCTAACCCTTGTAACTGGGGAGAAGAGGCTCATTTCAGGCAGTTGTAGAGAGACATAAGGTCCCCCCGAGCCTCCTTTTCTCCAAAGAGAAAGAGGAACTTGCCCTAGGATGAAACAGGGGAGCAGGGGGAGCAAGGAGCACAGCTATCCGCTGGGCACTGCCAGTCCCCAGGGACTGGCAGCGACAACAGGAGCAGGCAGCAGTGGTGGGGTTGGCACTGGTATGCTCTGGAGCACCCCTGACAGTGACACCCCCGCTGCCCATGGGCTGGATGCAAGAAAGGACCCAGCACAGCCAGGGTGAGATGTGCCATACAGGGAACACGCTGGCAGGGGACTGGCTGGCACACTTACTCTGCAAGTCCTTGATGACACGGTTGAGCTCCCCGTCCCCCGCCATGGCTCTGCACAGGGATCTGCAAAGGCAGGGGCAGTGATGAGAAGTGCCAGGCTGGCAGTCCTCTGGCACGCCCAAACTCTCTGTCCCAGGGTCTGTCCTCACTCAGCTCTACCCCAGACCTGCCTGCTGTTAAGGTGAGAGGGGGTGTGTGTAAGCACTCCCTTTCCTTGCCCATGTGCCCTCACTGCATGGGGTAGGAGGGATGGGGTGGACAAAGGTGTATCCTGTACCCCCTTATTTGTCCATGTGCCCTGCCCCAAAATGTCCTCAGCCTCTGCTCCCATTCCCTGGGGAGTTCCTGAGGCTGAGCATGGCCCATCCCTAGTGTGTTCCTGTCCTTGTCCCTGTCCCTGTTCCTCAGGATTCAGGATGTGGGTTTGGCACAGGGGAAGCTCTGCTTTTTCTTCTGCTCTCGCTTCCCTCACATCATGACCAGTGTGGGGGCTCCTGGATGGTTGGGGAAGGGGGACACACAGCTCCTGACATGCAGCCCCTCCAAACTAAGCCCCCCCTCGGCACAACCTTGTGGCACAGCATGCTGCCTGGGGAGCTGGCACAGGGCTCGGGGGTGTTGTGGGCATGGGGTGGGGAGCTGGGGGCACAGTGCAGCAGAGTAATTTTGGGGAGCGGTGGGTGGCAGCCTGGGGACAGGGTGAAGGAAAGAGCCCATGGAGGTGGCAGGTCTGTGGCTTGTCACTGTGGATGGTGTCTGGGTGGTGTGGGGGAACACATGTGTGTGCATGGGGGTGTGCATGGCAGGGTGTGTGTGCACTCACAGGAGGGTTGTGCATAAGCATGTCCAAGCCTGCCTAAGAGTGAGTGAGTGCCGTGTGCCTTCCCCTGTGCTCTCTGTCACGGCAGAGTGACGGAGCAGGACACGCGACTCAGGATGCCTGGGTTCCCATTCCAGTGCCCTTGAGAGACCTTTGATGAACTATCTTCCCGTCTGCCCACCCTGCCCATGCCTCAGTCTCCCCGGGGAAGAGAAGCCCCTTACCTGTGGCCAGCAGCTCGACTGCCCCGAGTTGCTCGCTGAGTGCTGGGGGCACGCTGGAGTGTCCTGCGCCCACGCTGTGCCTGCTTGCTTCTCCTTTTGTACCTTGGCCAGGAGGAAGTGTGGGAGGTCGGTGAGGCCGCAGGAGCCACCACCCACCCGGCCCATATCACATCAGGCACTGCAACTTAGCCCCCAGCACCCAGCTCCCTGTTATGGAGGGTGCCAGTTCTGGGGAAAGGGTCAGCAAGGCTGGTCCCCCTAGGCAGCTTCTGTGGAGGACAGAGGAAGGACAGTGTCAGGTCTGGGGGGACCCTGGTGTCCTCCCATGAGAGTGGGAATTGGGAATACTTTGAAGGACCATCCTGCAATTTTTGTGGAAGGACCCCTACCCAGCTCACAAGCATGCAGATGGGGCTAAGGCGAGAGTGAACTGTAGTTCTCTGGCACAGAGTCCACTCCCCAGTGCCAACAGCCCCTGGGTACAGAGACCCCCACAGGATCTGCAGCCCCTGTCCACCCCCCCCAGCAAGGACCACTGCCTCCCCCAGCAAGAACCACAGCCCTGTGTTGGCATCTGCCCCACACAGGGGGGCTATGCCCAGAGCCAGGATGCAAACTCTCCCCCAAGCATTTTGACCAAGGCTCCCCCTTGTTAGGGAGTCCCCAGCCCAGCAGTTGCCCCTCAGCCATGGTGCCTGGCCCCCGTGCTGTGTCAACCCTGTCCTGTGGGTTCCTTCTGGACTGAGGACTAAAACCCTTGGAGGGGGGGAAGCTAGGGGTGATGCCAACCCATCTTGCCAGTCCAGGAGGACTCACTGCCATCCCGTTCCCCACCACCATTTGGCTTGGTGGATGTCCACAATGATGCCCACATCCTGCCCTCTGCCACACCCCTCCTTGTAGCACACGCTGTCCCTACCTGTGCCACCCGGGTGTCTTGGGGGCCAACTGCTTCTCCCCAGCCGGGCTTCGCTCGGCACCAAAGTGAAAGTAGGAAGTGATGCTGAGTGGGAGCCTGGGCCTCCCAGCACCCTCTTGGCTCCTGGTGGGTGCTGGGCTTTGAGATGCCCTCAAGCAGCTGGGAGGGATGGGGGAGGCAGTGACAGTGCTCGAGGTGACGCCAGCCTCCTCAGGACCCTCTTGTCCTGTGCCACTCCAGTGTGTGGCACTGTGGGCATGGGATGCAGCATCCCACATAGGATGGGAGTGTGGGCGGGGGAGGGGGGGATGGGGGGAAGTGGAGCATCAGCCCCCTGTGCCTGGAGGATGCATGTGCTCTTGTATGCGTGTGCAGGCATGTGTGCAATGGCACACTTGTTCTGGCTGTGCATGCATGGCTATGGGGATGCATGTGCGGGTACAAACTCTACACGTGTAGCGGGTGTGGGCACAAGTCTGAGATGGCACCGTGTGTGCCTGCAGACACATGTGTGTGCCCGCCATTGCACCCACCCGCGTGCCCTGTGCCAGGCACTGCACGGGCAGCACCCCAACACCTGTGGGGGGAATGTGCCCCTGCCCGCTGTGCCACAGCAGCACCCTGGCAGCAGAGTCCCCCGCCTCTACCCCAGCCAAGGGCTAGGGTGGGGATGCCGGAGGCTGGGGGGGCCCAGAAGACACTCGCCCGTCCTTGGCGCAAGTGCAATTCAATTAACGAGGCCTGGCCCTGGTTCAGCACAGCCAATAAAGCTAATGGCCCTGCACAGGCCTGGTGCTGCCCACCGCGGGGGGGGGGGCTGGGGGCCATCTGCTAATTAAATGAGGGTGGGGGACCATGGAGCCAGCAGTGATGTCACCTCCCTGGGGCTCGGTGTGGGGGGGGCTGTACCCTGGCCCCCTCTGCCTGCCAGCCCTCTGCCCCTCCTAGGTGCAAGACAGAGCTGTGGGGGACAGCTGTGAAGTGTGGGGGACCACCTGAATTCCCTGCACCCCTCTCTGGTGCGGCTGCTTGTCAGGAGCCTCCCCAAGGCAAATGCAATTAGTGCCCAGGCCTGGCATTGCCACTGCCCACGCTTGGCACCAGCAACTGCCCTGTGGGGATGATCCTTGCCCTGCACCAGCATGTCATCATGGCAGCATCTGGGGATGCTGTCGCCAGCTCCTCTTGGCACCACCCCGATGGGTATATGGAGGATGTGTGGTCTCCAGTGGGGTGCACCCTGTCCCCCTGCCCTGTGCAAGCCCCATGGTGAGGGGGGTGCCCAGGGCCATTTCGAGCTGTTCTGCAGGGAGAGGTTCCCCTGGGTAATTCAGTGCCCACAGCATGGTGCATCAGCCAGGCAGGCTTCGGGGAGGAGACCCCCCTCTAAGGGGGCTGGGTGAGGTGTCCCTGAATGTGTCCTCAGGCTCCCAGGAAGAGGAGAAGCTTGGTGGGGTGCCAGGAGGACTCGTAGAGGGGCAGAGAAGTCCCCACTGTGTGTACACGTTGCCATTTAGGGCTAGGGGTGAGTAGGGGGTGCTACAAGGAAACTGAGGCAGGGTCGGAGCGGGGATAGTAGATTGCGCCTCGATCGAATCCGGGGTGTCCGACCTCCTCCATCCCCAAACCTGAGGGCTCTGGAGCGGGGGACACTGTTAGGGTCTGGCATTCACCCCAGCGGATGCCGTGCCCGGAGGACAGGCGGGTGAGTCCCGGGGGTGCCAAGCCCCGAGCCCCGTGTGCGGGCGAAGGAGAGGGAGGAGGAGGAAGAGAAGGAGGAGTGGGAGGAGGGGAGGAGGGGGAGCGTGTCGGAGCTGGCTCCCACCCAAGCACTGCAGGACAGGGGCGGGCACGGTGCTCCCTGCCTGGCTGCCAACGCGCAGGCGACGCTGGGGGACCGGCGGGGGGGACCGGGCCCGGTGGGACCGCAGCCCCCCAGCACATCACCGTCGCACAGCCCCGTGCCCGCGCCCGGACACCTCCGGGGCACTGCCCGGACACCGGAGCTTGTTGCGGCCGGTGGGGGGGAGGGGGACAGGGCTGGGTTCGACAGCCCCCCCGAGCGTGCCCTGGGCAGGGGTCGGCTCCTGCACCCTCCCCCCGGCAGGTGAGCCCCGGGCAGGGGCACCATGACCCGGCTGAACTGGTGCTTTGCCACCTTGGTTAGCTGGGGGAAGTCCTTGGTGTCCTGCCTCCTGCCCCTCCGCGCCCGTCGCCGCCGGGAGGTAAGCGGGCACCGCCGGTCACGGAGTTAGGGTTAGGGGCTGCGGGGGATACGGGGCTGGGGCAGGGTCCGGGGACTGCGGGGGGTGGGGGTACGGGCTGCCGCTGGCCCTGCCTGGTGCGGGCAGCGGAGGGTTAAACCCTGCATATGCATGCTAGGTGCAGGGCATGTCCTTTGTCTCTCCTTGTGCCCCCCCCCCCCAGCGTGCCACTGTGACCCTCGCTTCCCATAACCCACACCCGCGGGCCCCTGCAATGCCTGACTGGAGGGGATCTGCTGTACAGCCTTTCATGCAAAGGGATCTGCTGGGATCCCTGTGCCCTTACAGAGAGAACATGTAGGCAGGGGGTGTCCCTGTGTCCCTACTGAATCCACAGTGGGGGCACTGTGCCCCATGGGAGGAGACCCCGAAGCCCATAAAACACCTAGCACGAGAGATCCCTGTGCGTGCCCATAAAGTGCCCAGTGTGGGGGATCTCTGTACCTGTAAGCACTTGGTACTGGGGAACACCATACTCATAAAGTACTCAGTCAGTGTCGGCTCCCTGTGCCCAAAAACGTGCCCAACATGAGGGGGCCCTGTGGGGTCACCTGTAGGTGTGCCCATCAGTACCTGGTGTGTGTGGTATCCATGTGCCAAAGGACTGTCCTGCATAGGGGATTCTCGTGCCCATGCAGCACCTGGTGTGGGGACTCATCCTGTTCTGCCACCCATGCTGTGGAAACTGAGGCAGGGAGGGGAGAAGCTGTTGGAGTGTGAGGACTCCCAATGCGCCACCCTCACTTGGTTCCTCAACCTTTGGGAAGCTGCCCTGTGCCTGGCGGAATGGCATGGGACACTCCAGCTGCACTGTGCCAGAAAAGCTGGTGCCAAAGTCACCGCCATGGCAGTGTCTGGGGGAGTCACTGCAGGCTGGTGACAAGTCCAGTATGTGCCAGGGTAGGCACCCAGCCTGGAGAAGAGAGAGGCCTCTGGCTGCTTGGGGACACCAGCGTGTGTCAGGAACGCAGGATCGTGAGCTGATGGGAGTACAGGGGGATGCTCAGGGCTATGGGTGGGTGGGAGGCACTGGTGAGGTGTAGGGTGGCGGTTGTGCAGTCCCATGCCCATCCCTGTGTCCTTGATGTGGGTGTGAGAACAGGGACTCATGGGGGGCTGTAACACACATGTATGCTTGTGCATGTGTGTTCACAAGCATGCAGATGGGGCTAAGGTGAGAGCGAACTGTAGCTGACATGGTGTGGGTGCATAGCAGGTATCTGGGGGGCTGTCGCGGGGTGTGTGTCCTCTAGCACGCGTGGGACTAGCTGGGGGCAGTAGCAGTGAGGCTTTACGTTCGTGTGAGCTGTTAGAGGGGTGTTCCCCAGTCCTTCCTGTGCCAACAGGCACCTACACACATGGAGGCCCACCCACCACATGTGGTATGGGCTGTGTGTGTGGTGTACTTGAGTGTGCCCTGGCATGTACATAGGGGTGTGTGTGATGTGTGTGTATGCCCTGTGCACCCAAGGGCAGTGTGGGGACAGCTCTGCTGGAAGTGGGTGTGGGGGCCTTGGGGACAGGATGACCCCAGGAGGGGGGACACAGAGAAGTCCTACCAAGGCTGGCCCTGCACTGGGAGTACCTGCCTGCACCAGTAGTACCCATGAGGGGTCCCTGTGCTAAGTGCCCCTGTCTGCATCTCCCTGCTGAGAAAACGATCCTTAAATGATGCTTATGGGCAGTGTCCCTGCAGCCACTCTGTCCCTGTCCCATGACCCTTGTCCCTGCCCTTCTGAGGGGCCTGGGATTGTCCTGGCAGTGAATGGGAGGAGATGATTTATGGGGGGGGGTGTGGGGACACTCCTCTCCACTGGGGTTTTTATTTGTGGGCAGTAACAAGGCTGATTAATGAGGGCTGTAATGATGGGGTGGGGCGCG